TTATTAGATCAATTAATATTGTAGAGGAGTTTTGTTCCTGGGTTAATCATTGGTATGAACTCTTAGCTTGTACTTAAAGTTTGGGGCTAGACATAAAAGTGACTTAGAAAGGACACCTCAGTTCTTTATTCTCCATCAAGGACTTTAACTGAGATTTATTCAAGTTAGTACCCGCAAATTTCTCAAGTTAGATATTTGCCAAATGAATTCTAAGAAGAATATTGAGTTACCTTTCAAGGATATTTTATTTGTTTTGATTAAACTTTTGTTTGCAGCTGAAGAAAATATCAAAAACAACCAGTTATTCCAAGTTTTATTGATCATTGCTGTTTAAATGAAAAATAATATAGATTTCAATTTCATATAAATGCAATCTAGATATTTATTGCTCCCTGTAACCCTGTTTTTTTTTTTTTAATATGTCACCTTTGCTAATCCATGGAATGGCTTTACTATCTAAATTACATGCACTGTCTCTGTCCTCCTAGCATCCTATGTAAAGAATTGTGAACCTCCTCCTTGATGACAATAGGATTGATGATCTGAGTTCTGATTTGTCTTTCACCTTCTGACTTATTTCACTTAGAACAATTCCCTCCGGCTCCATCCACATTGTCTTGAACGGCTGGATTTCATCCTTTCATTTATTTATTTTTGGCTGAATAGTATTCCATTGTGCATATGGATCACATCTCCTTAATTCACTTATCTATTTTTTGCCACTTAGGTTGCTTCTGTAACTTGGCCCCTGTAAATAGTGCTGCTGTGAACATAGGGATGCAGTGTTCCTTTGAATTAGTGATTTTGCACTCTTTGGATCAATACAAAGAAGTAGAACTTTCTGAATCATATGGTACTAACATTTTGAGTAACCTTCATATGGTTTTAAGTAGAAGCTTTGTCAGCCTATATTCTCACTGGGTCCTTGCAAAGAAGTTTACCTTGATTTTTTTTAAAAGATTTTTATTTATTTATTTATGCATACAAGAACTGGGGTGCATGCCAGAGGTGTGGGGGGGTGAGAGGATTCCCCAGAGACAGAGTGGGGAGCAGAACAGGCAGATATACTGAAATACGCTGCTGAGGGGAGCAGTGGGGAGACAGGAGAGGTCTACTGTGCCATGTGGGTCATTTCCCTTGCTGGGGATCGAACTCATGATAGCCTCATAGAGCTGAGACTTTAACCCTTGCGCCACCCAGGAGGCCCCACCTTGATTTTTTGGTAACCGCTGGATAGTCCTCCAAAATGGAAATGTAGCTTGTAATAATACTATTCAATATATGTTTTATGCTTTTAGAATTTTTTTACAATTTGCTTTTTGGCACTGGGAGTGTTTTCTTTTTAGTGCAGTGAGTGTAGCCAATATCCCTCTCTGAATACATTGAGTAGTTCAGCTTTCCCATCTATTTCAAACCATGGATGTCATATACAAATTTCCACATATGCCTGGGTTACTCTGTGTACTAACTGTTGTATTTTTCTAATCTATTTATCAATTTTTGCACCAATGATATTTCATCTTAATAATAGGATTTTCCAATTAATTTTGTTATTTGGCTAGCTGAAAACCTGTCTGTTCTTACTCATAATTTTCTTAGATATCTTTGTACATTTTGTTTTCCTGGGGGCTCTTATAATTGTCTTAGTTTTAAAAAAATGCCATTGGTAAAGATTTCAAGGAATAGAATAACTTGGGAAAATAAATATCTAGTTGCTTCCATTTATTAAAATTCTTTTGTAGATTTCAATAATGTATTTATAATTTTTCTCATAAGAAGCTTTAAATACTGTGTTGGATTCATGTGTGGGAATTTTACATTGCTACTGGGAAATATATTTTTGGGTTTTTGACAGGTTGTGTGCTGGACTATGGCTGATTTTCCTACGATTATCTTGCCATTTGATGGCATACATTATAATCGTATTCTTGTTGCATATAGATGCTGAAGGCTTTGATGTGCCAACTCATTATAACTCTCCTTTATTAGATTCTTGGTTCCAGTGATTGCAGAGATTTAATCTAAAAAAAGAATATTTATTAAGAATTAAGTTTAAATTGTAAATGCAACTTGAAACTAAAATAACAAAAATACTAGGAAAATACCATTATTAAGACAAAATATCATTGATGCAAAGATAGTTAGATTATAAAAATACAATAGTTAATACACAGTGAAAAGAGTTTTAGTCTATATGCCTCCTCTAAACAAAGAGGATGTGTTGAGAGGACACTTACCTTATTGGTGTTGGAACAGGAATGGGAGGAAAAAATAAACATTCATTGCTTTCCAGGAGGCACATGGACTGGGTGTCAGACTTTCTGATTCTTTTTTTAAGTTTTAGGAGAGATGGAATGGTGAGGAATTACAGAAAGGTTAGGTTTGAGAGACTATGAGGCCTTTGTGTGATAATGTGGAATTGTCCTGGAATAACATAATTGTCCCACTAAGACTTCCCTACCTGAGTCACAGTCGCCTCTCCTCTTGATAGAAAGACACTGTTAGTGCCCTGTCAGCAGAGTTTGCTGTTCAAGAGGAAGTTAATTTTCCTCATGTCCCTTCCCCATCACTCCTCATTATCTCCAGGCCTATAATTAGAATCCAATTCCAATCTGTGAAGGGGACCAATTATGAAGTCAAACATGTAGGGAGGAGGCTGGGAAAACAAAGGATTTCAATACTTTGCTCCTTTTCCCTTAGTTCTTCCTTTCCTCCATGAAACAAAAATGCAGGATTTGTTTATGGGGGTTAATTATAAATTTCGATCCACAGATAGATGGTTCTTGGAATAATTGCAAAAAGGCAGAAGGACAAAGACATTGTTCAGAGATTCTTAAATTGAAGTTGAATTGTTAAAGAGACAAGAATTCCAATTGTTTCTTATGATGGGGTGTAGAATGAATGTGTTTTGGTCAATACATAGCTGCACTAAGTTAATCAGGAGTTTTAAAATTTTTTATCACTTAAAAAAAAGGGTGTGTGAGGGTCAAAGGAGTACCTAGAATGTAGTGGCTATTCAGAAAACATGTGTTGAATGTGTAAATACGAGTACCCATGAAATGGGTTGCAAGTTCATTTAAATTTTTAAAAGTTTTTGTCTTATTAGCTGTCAAATCTCTTTGCGAGTGATTACCTTTATGATATGGTCCTTTTGTTCTATGAAATTCATTTTCCATCATTAAAATTGCTTTTATAAAATGATTTCTTCTTTTTAATAGGGAATCTGATTTTTGCTCCAATTTTTAAAATTTCTTTTCTCCTGTTAAATTTGGTTTTAGTTTGCAATTCTATTTTTTTTCATTTTCCTAAGGTGGAAGCTTAGAATATTGATTTGAAATATTTATTTTAAACTATTCAATGCTTAATGCCCTGTTTTCATTACCTCCCCCATTTTTTGATAAGATGCTTGCATTTTCATCTAGGTGGAATATTTTTAAATTTCTCCTGAAATTTATTTTTTGATCCATGCATTATTTAAAGGTATATCATTTAATTCCATTGTGGACTGAGAGCAATCTTTGCATGGTTTTTATTCTTTTAATTTCCTAAGGTGTGCTTTTTGTCCTAGAATCTGGTACATCTTGTGAATATTTCATGTGAGCCTGAAAAGTGTGTGTATTCAACTGTTGGATGAAGTTGTGTCTGCTATCAATTGTTTTTATTGCATTTACTTGATTGACAGTGTTACTGTATTCAGCTGTGTACTTACTGATTTCTGCCTGTTGGATCTGTCCATTTCTACTACAAGGAGGTTAAAGACTCCAACTACGATAGTGGATTCATCTATTCCTCCTGGTAGTTCTATCACTTTCCACCTCACACAGTTGCCAGACACATGCACTTTTATGATTGTTGTGTTCCTCATAGAGAACTGAACCCTTAATTATTACACATGTCCTTAATAGTTGATAACTTTCCTTAATTCAATGTCTGCTTTGTCTGAAATTAATGCAACTATTTCTGCTTTCTTTTCATTAGTGATAGCATGATTTCTCTATATTCTTTTTTTTATTCTACATGTATTTTTATATTTAAAGTGGGCTTCTTGTAGACAACATACAGTGGAATTGTGTACTTTGATCTACTGACAGTTGCTGTTTTTTAATTGATGCAACTAGACCATTGCTGTTCAAGGTAATTGTTAGTATAGTTGGATTAATATCTACCATATTGTTTCTATTTGTTGCCCTTGTTCCATGCTTATGCTTTTGTCCTCCACTCTTTAGCTGCCTTTGTGGTTTTAACTAAGCATTTTTTATATTAGTCCATTCTCTCTCCTTTTTTTTTTTTTTTTTTTTTTGAGCATATCAGTTATACTATTTTACTCTGTTTTGGTGCTCGCCCTGGAGTTTGCAATGTTCATTTACCATTAATCCAAGTTCACTTTCAAATAACACTACCCTACTTTCTGTGTATTGTTGATACTTTTTAAAAACAGAATAATCCTAATTCCTAGCCCTGTCCCCTCTGGGATCTGTAGCTGGGTGTGTGTGCAGGACCACAGGTGTCGGCACAGATGCTAATGGCAAGAGGGTAAACAAGCCTTATCCCTTCATCACCCTCACTGTGCTCTGTGATCATTCTGCTTATCAGATATGACATATCAGGTAAAAATAAATGGTATAGATACACCTTTAGTAATGTGGTGAAAGGGGAGGGTGACCACTCTAGAGTTCTACGTTTAAGAATCAGTCTTTTAGCAAACTGTGGCCCTTGCACTAGGAGCTCCACAAGTGCTTCTCATTTTCTCTTTCTCCACTTACATGGGGCAGTTTGGCTACAGGGGGCTGGAGTAGGGGCTTTGCTGCCTTCTGCATGGGGATTAGAGCCAGCTGAGTTTGGTTATGTCCCCTCCTCCAGGCCAGTCAGGCTCTGATAACACCCAGCAGGTTCCACTCTGGTTAATTAGTTTCTGCTGAGGGCAGGTCTTGTTGAGGATAAAATGCTCTGGAATATTCCCAGAGGGTTCTTTCCCCCCTTCTCCCTGCTATTTACTGCAGGACTCGGGTTGAGAATGTGAGCAGATCTCACAATATCGCTGGGGGCCTCCTGTAACAGCACCCCCAGGAGCTGAGAACCCTCAGCGCTGCCTGCAATGAGCCTCCAGCAACTGTCAGTAGCAGTTGGGGTTTTCCTACCTGGTGCTGCTCGCCATGGCGTGGTTTCAGCTTCTATCCCTGCTCCGGTAAGTCTCAAATCTCGCTTTTTTTTGTCTCTAACTCTGGGGCAGCCTTTGCCTATGTTCCTCCTCTCTCTTCTGGCCAATACGAGTGAGTTGTGATTACTTTTGCTTGTTGCTTGTTGTTTGGATCCAGTGGTGACTTCCAAGCTTCCTACATGTGGAGCCTATGATACAGAGTTGTTTGTCTGCTTTTTACTCTTTTTCTTGGAAACTACCTGAGGTGGTTCCCGTCTGCCCTGATTTCTACCTCTGTGTTTTTATAGGTCGGTTCGCTGCACACACTGCCTTGAGTCATTGTGTAGATTGCTGTATTGAATGGGAATTTCTCCTGCAAGGGTTCAGGATGTTGAAATTTTACCTTTAAATATTTTTAAGCTCTTTCCAAAAACAAGTTGTTTGTTATTTTTTAAGATCCTCTGTCCCATCCCCGTCAACTATAATGGAGCCTTCATTGAAGACGAGAAGGCGAATTCTCCAATGTTTCCTTTGGCATCTATCTCAGCCTGTTTTTTAGAAGAGTTTTTGCCATTTTTCCATCCTCTCATCACCATTTGAGTCTTTGCCAGCGTAAGGTCCTTGCTCCTGTCTTATCTTTCAGATTAGGTTAAGCCTACATCTTACAGATGTAGTCTATATGCTGTAACATTATTAATTAAGGCCTCTCCTCTCCCTGGCCAAGCTTAAAGTAGTTTAGGATTGTACACTGGCCTACTTGGTTCCTGGAACTATCGTCTTCTCTGAGACTCTTCTGATGAGATGTTTATAGAAACGCAAAGCTGTAAAGTTGGTAAACTTGGTGCCTTGTCACCAGCCCCCTTTGTCACTATTGGGGAGCACTTTTAGCCAGAAGTGGAGGCTTGGTGTCTGATGATGTGATCGGAGCCCTTAGATTCAGCACCTTAAAGTGTAAAGTTTCTTTTTCCGAAATGTTTTAATGAAGTAATTAAATTTTTTTAAAATTAACTTCAGGTGTACATTTTTATAAATCAATATTCGTGTATACTCCATTTTGTTCACAATGAAAGGTCTAATTGCATGGACCTAGAGAGTATAATGCTTGGTGAAGTAAGTCAGAAACAGAGCAACATATGAATTCATGTATGTGGTACATAAAGGAAAAAAAAAGTCAATGAGACAAAACAAAAATAAGCATCTTAGGCTATAAGATAAAATTAGTGGTGTCTAGGAGGACAGGGGAAGAGGTCTGGTGGGTTCGGTGATGGGGTGATTGTACAGTGAAGGATAAAGTAATTTTACGTGGGTCTCAATCACTTGCCTTGAATAAAATTCCCCCACTACATCTCTTGTGTTCATGTGTTTTTAGCCACATTTCTCCTAGTGGTTTATTTCCAAACCCTGTTCATTCTTGAGTACCCCTCAATAGACAACAAGCCTTCAAAAGCCAACTCCAGGCTTCTTGGTCCTCTCTCTTCTTCCCTTTTCATGAAAGCTTCTTGAATATATACTGAGAACTCACAGGACTTCCCCCACTCTGTAGTGCCGATCCGGTGTCTGTGTCCTCCACTCCTTTGAAAGTGCTGAAATCACTAATGCATTTACCAGGATAAGTCCAGTGATTATTTTTCTGATTTTACATTCCTTACAGTTTGTGCTACCTTTAGCACTGGATAGTTTCCCATTCACATACCATGATCTTCCTTTATTCTCTCTGATATTATTCTTCTCTGGTTGCATGGCTGAATATTTACTCTATTCATTATTTCATGGATTTGTTTGCCCAACTTTTTTACATTTTCGAGATTTGTTTTCAAACATTTAATCACTCACCATATCTAAATAGTTACCTCATTTGGACCCATGGCTTAATGTATATGTACTTGCTAAATATTTGAAAATTGAGTGTTCCAGTTTCTGGTAATTGAGAGCTAGTTTGAGATTATTCAGACTAACCATCCCATTGGAAACTATTAAAAATGGCAAAGAAGAAATAAAAACACCTTTCTGTAGCATCAAATTTCTGACAAGCATATAAACAATGCCCAGATAAATTTGAAACATAAACAACACTATGAATGCAGACAGGTAAGCAGAATACAAAATGGTTATTAAGAACTCTACACTTTTATTCAAAGGCATCATCCAGCATAGGGTGCCCAAATCAAATGACAGAGCCATGCAAGGCAGAACCCCAGTGGAGACAGCGCTGGGGGGATCATAGGCTTGAACCAGAAACCATCAGGAACAATCAACACTATGTGCTTTTGCAGCTGAGTTTGCTTTGGGTTCAGGAAAAGACTATTTTTCAAAGGTGTGTTAGAGTTTGGAAGCCCTTCTGTGGCGCCGGTATAACAGTGAGCTCTTGGCTATGTTACCTACAAAAGAGGGAATGTTCCCTTAGCCATCAGATAGACAAAGGGTTTATGTTTCTTCTTATTGGAGTTACACAAAATAAGTTTTAATTTATAGGGTGTTGTATATGTATATCATAAGGCAACCCATATGATAAATAATATAAACATAATATGTATAACTATAAAAATTATATAATACAGAAATGATACAGATAATACATAATACACAAGGAAATCCAATGTTTTTGAATTTTTCACAATATTCAATAAGTAAAGGTTAATTTTAATCCTAATTAGTGATATCAGTGAAACTTCGAGTCATTGTTTACCAACACTCATTTTTGGCTTTTTGAAATAGTTTAATTACATTTGTTTAGTTGAAAGATCACTAGCTTACCTTTCAAAGAGAAGGATTTGTTGTCATGTTATAAAGATGAGAATTAGAACTTTTGGAATCAGCCAATCTCTCTATTTCTCTGCCTAGTTCTGCTTTCTTTATTGACTAACATCTCTCACCTGATTTCTCCTTGTACATTCAGCTGCCACATGTTGTTGATTTTTTTTTTTGTGATGACTTCGCTTTAAGTTTTTATTAAGGAAAATTTCAAATGCACAGAAACTAAAGAAAAATATGTAACAAACACATCTTGCTTCAACAATTTTCAACTTTGCTAATACTTCCTCATATTTATTTCCTTCCCATTTTATATATGTGTGCATCTATTTATTCACTTGTTTACTGCATTAATCAAAAAAATATGTTATAGATGAATCAGGCATTTTTACTTGACATAACTCCCCTGGCGTTCTGAATCTTTGAGAAGCATAGTAGTTCCTTATATCATCTAAAATCCAACTCCTTTAGACCAGCTAGATTACATCAGAGATGCTTCTGAATTTGCTGGCGTTGGCTGGTGGAGTTGTTAATTTGTTGTTTATTTTGCTTCTCTTGTCTCAGTATTTACTGTAAATTCATAGTTAGACCTATATGCTTGGTGTTTAGGGAAGAATTTATATGGATTACAGTGTAATGTTTTAGCATTACATTATTAAGATCATGCTAGCGTCATTATTAAGGGGTTAGCACACATATACCTGTTATTTTCAAGTGGAAATATCCTGATTCTATATTCCTTTATCTCTGTTACTGGAATTCTACACAAAAAGAAATTTACTGCTTTGGCCTATTTTGTACTTTGCATGAATATATAAGGGATAGGGAAAATAAATACTTCACCGTGCTGAGTAGATGAAGTGGTGTCCAATGATACAGATTTTTTGATTTCAATTATTATATGAATTTTTGTACACTTAAGGTACTTAAATCCATCCTAGTCATTGTTACCTCTTTCTGCTTTTTAAATTGTCCACTGGGAGTCCTGTCAAATTATCATCGTCCATCTGTTTTAAACTGCTTGCACTTGCATTGTTGTCCTGCGCAGAACAGCCGAGATTCATCTATTTGCTTTAATGTCTTTTCAATTGTAGATCACAGCGAAAGTTTTAGAGTGAAACTCATGCATGTATCCATTTTTGTATTTCAAATTCTAATGTAATTCATATTTTGCTTAAATTCTTTGATTTTATGCTTGTATTTTTTGGTGGAAGTCTTGATTTTTAACAATATTAGCATACTTTTTATTGGAAGTGTTTTTACAAAATACCAATAACTTTTTTAAAATAACAAAATATTTCACTTTATTTTCTTTGATTTGCGGTTATTGTTATTTATTCTGTTCCCTCGCCCCTCTCCCACCTCAGTCTCTAGGGATTGGCTTATATTTTGCTATTTAACATACATGAAATATTTACTTAGATCCAATGTCAAGGTGAGTAATAAGGTATACTTGCTTTATTTATAATAAGCTTGCTTTACTCAATTTTCTTTCTACTTTATCCATTGGGCTGTCAGTGATAATTTTGGTTATATTTATGTCATCCTCCCATACTGATACTAGATAATTATTCTGGAAAATTAGCAATTTAGGAATAAAATTCTTCCATCATGTTATATATACCTAAATAAATGTCCTAACTAGTAGACAGCTACATGTAAAAATTAAATGACTTTCAGTAAAATGACACGTGGATCCAATCTCTGATAGAGGAAAAAAATATCTAATCATATAATGTCTAAAACAAAACAAACACTGAAACAAAATATTTACTTCAACATAAATGAACAGGTTAAAAGGGAAATATCCTATGAAAGTTTTGCAATAAAGGTAACAAAACTTACAAAAATAAGGTACCATTCTCTATCCTATGAACTTCTCAAAAGTCATCTTATTAGTACTTTAGTGATGGTTTTATAAGTGAAGCAAGTTAGCTTTACAGCAATCAATTAACTTGCTGTTTGGACTATGTGTTTGTGTCCCTGCAAAAGTCATATACAGTGACATATACAGCACTGTGGCTGTGCAGCCGGGACTTTATAGAGGTGATGAAGGTTAAACTTGTCTCAAGGTGGGCTTAGTCTGGCATCACAGAAATCTGGCTCCCTGTCCCTGAGGAGGCCAAACCCCATGCTACCCACTGGCTTCTTCCTTGGGGTGACTTCTTTATGAAGATAGAGTTGGTTCTGTTTGTGTCAGCCAGGGGCTGAGGGAATGAATCTGCAGGGCCCTCTGCCTCCAGAGGTCTTCTGTGACCCCACCAGGCTGCCTGACTCCCCAGTGGACTCACATGAGC